CCCGCACCGAACATACCGCCTCACTCTCACATCGACCTCCCAGAGTACCTCGCACCGAACATACTGCCTCTCTCTCACATCGACCTCCCGGAGTACCCCGCACCGAACATACCGCCTCACTCTCACATCGACCTCCCGGAGTACCCCGCACCGAACATACCGCCTCTCTCTCACATCGACCTCCCAGAGCCGGCACCGAACATACCGCCTCACTCTCACTTATATAGCGACCTCCCAGAATACCCCGCACCGAACAAACTGCCTCTCTCTCACTTATATATCAACCTCCCAGAGTACCCCACACCAAACATACCGCCTCTCTCTCACTCTCACTTATATATCGACCTCCCAGAGTACCCCGCACCGAACATATCACCTCTCTCTCACTCTCACTTGTATATCGACCTCCTAGAGTACCCCACATGAACATACCGCCTCTCTCTCACTCTCACTTGTATATCGACCTCCCAGAGTACCCCGCATCTAACATACCGCCTCTCTCTCACTCTCACTTGTATATCGACCTCCCAGAGTACCCCACATGAACATACCGCTTCTCTCTCACTCTCACTTGTATATCGACCTCCTAGAGTACCCCGCACCGAACATACCGCCTCTCTCTCACTCTCACTTGTATATCGACCTCCCAGAGTACCCCGCACCGAACATACCGCCTCACTCTCACTCTCACTTTATGTAACGGATCGCCTGGCACCCCGACCGGGTACCTTCCGCCGACAGATGCTCCTAGTGCTTTCCGAGGACTCCAAGCACACTGCCTGACACCATAACCACTGCAGACCCCACGAACCGCCGCAGCTTGGTTGGGATCTCGCCGTCTCCACCCACTCTGGACCCAGGACCAGGGTCCAGCTTCCAGCAGGTCGACCTCTCTCCGAATTCCAGAGAGCAGGAACAGGAACAAGCTCTTAGCAGAGCTTAGTGATTATACCCTGGGGAGTATAGTGATTATAGCAATCCCCAGAGTGTAGTTTCTCCAATCCCCCAAACATGAGCCGAAACTTCATGAAGGTACAAGATGATCTGACCCCAATGAGTGTTTATTACTTCTTATATACAAATGTTCAGGTCAGAGGCACACCCCCTGGACCTGGTGGTAAACTGTGACAAAAGGGACACAAACCAATGGGAACACTAATTAACATGATAACACTCTCACATACACAATGAAATCCCTCCTCTCCATCCTGGAGATAATTGGCTTAAGGCACTGCAGTAAATTCAATTATCTCCAGGTACAGAAAATATCTACATTTAACACTAACAGCAAAATACGTAAAAGTACATAAAAATACATAATTCTTATTTTATTACACAGAACCCCCACATTTAACCTATCCCCAGATAGCTCGGATCTGAGCGCCCAATCTAGGTGAACAGCGCTCAGATCCCATGAACAGAGTAGATTTTCCATGGGGTAAAGCATAGCAAGGGCTGCAGTCAGTTCCAACTGGTTTGGTAGTGTGCCTGGGACAACGCCCTGCTGGAAAACAATAGACAGGAAACGGGGGAGGGGAAGAAACACACCTTCCCATGGATTCAAATGGGAAGAAACTGTCTTTAGAAGCCAATAAGCCCCAAATAGTCTTTTTAAATGGCAATACACCTCAGGGCCATAGTCATGAGGAAGGAGGCTGGCAATCAGGCTCCTCCAAAAGCCGGGGGCAAAGGGCAGCTTGTCACCTAACAATCCAGGGACAAAAGGCATTTCGTCACACTTTATATATCGACCTCCCAGAGTACCCCGCTCCGAACATAACGCCTCTCTCTCACTCTCACTTATATATCGACCTCCCAGAGTACCCCGCACCGAACATACCGCCTCACTCTCACTTATATATCGACCTCCCAGAATACCCCGCACCGAACATACCGCCTCTCTCTCACTCTCACTTATATAGCAACCTCCCAGAGTACCCCTGTTACGGTACCTTCAGTAATAAACGTACAAACCGCCGTTTAGTCAATGCTCCCCGTTCACAATAATGTTGTCTGTAAGCGTATGCAATACAACCATGCGAACCGCCAGCCAGGGAACACTCCAAACTCCCGAACGGTATCCGTACGGCTCCTTCCCTTCACGAGCCACAAGTTCACGAACTGCCAATATCAGCCAAACGCCAATATCTTCCAAGCGGCAAATAATTCCAAAGAGCAGTCTCTAGTCGCCGGTAATAAAATCCCCCCAATAACGAGACCAAGCTCCGCATTGAGGGTAAAACACGAACTGAGTTTACTGTGGGCTACCTGCCTGTATTTATGCAGGTCTCCCAATTGGTGGACACTCCCCTGGGGACCAAATGGGAGACTGGAATAGCAGATGGACATGGGGACATTTCAGACATACAATCACACAATATTCCCAGCATACATCACAGTTTCCTCCCCTCTGCTCGGGAGATAATTGAGAAGTAATTCAGTTATCTCCCAGAGCAGAGGCAAATCGCCATTTTAAATACAAGTCACAAAACACATAAAAATATATAACTTTATAACTGCCGAACACATTACATTTGTATAACACATCCCCAGATAGCCTGGATCTGAGTGCATATTATTGGCGAATAGCGCTCAGATCCCATACGCACAGTTCAATCGCCATGGAGTCAAAGTCTATTACAGTTCTTCGGTATGCGATTGACTCCATGGGAAGGCTATCTGGGGTAAGTCCATTCGTGCCTTTACATCTCCCGAACGGCCAGTGTTCGCACACTTCTGTCCATTAAGAAGGGAGGTCGACGGCTTCAGCGGTGTTCGGTTGAAAAAGTGTCCATGAAAATAACCGTCGAACACCGCTGGTCTTTCGCATGGTTAAAATGGCTGCCGCCTTGTGGTCGACAAATGAACGACGACCACCCTGTATTCGGTTTTAATTGAGAAGTGTCTGTGGTTAACCGCAACGTTCTAATTGGGATCAATAGGTTAACCAGCAGCACACTTCTCTTCTGGGTGGCCGTCCGTTCGGCAGTTCCGTTCGACAGAAAAGTACATTCACTTAAACAAGGCATAGGAACAGGTAAATTCATGCAAACGGCAAAACAGACGAATACAGCAATCTTAGTTCATACGGATGGGTCTGTCACAACCCCGCACCGGACATACAACCTCTCTCTCACTCTCACGTATATAGCGACCTCCCAGAGTACCCCGCACCGAACATACCTCCTCGCTCTTACTCTCACTTATATATCGACCTCCCAGAGTACCCCGCACCGAACATACCGCCTCTCTCTCACTCTCACTTATATATCGACCTCCCAGAGTACCTCACACCAAACATACCGCCTCTCTCTCACTCTCACTTATATAGCGACCTCCCAGAGTACCCCGCACCGAACATACCGCCTCTCTCTCACTCTCACTTATATATCGACCTCCCAGAGTACCCCGCACCGAACATACCGCCTCTCTCTCACTCTCACTTATATATCGACCTCCCAGACTACCCCACACCGAACATACCGCCTCACTCTCACTTTATATATCGACCTCCCAGAGTACCCTGCACTGAACATACCGCCTCTCTCACACTCTCACTTATATATTGAGCTCCCAGAGTACCGCGAACCAAACATACCGCCTCTCTCTCACTTTCACTTATATATCGACCTCCCAGAGTACCCCGCACCAAACATACCGCCTCTCTCTCACTTATATATCGAGCTCCCAGAGTACCCCGCACGAACATACCACCTCTCTCTCACTCTCACTTATATATCGACCTCCCAGAGTACGCCGCCCCGAACATACCGCCTCTCTCTCACTCTCACTTATATATCGACCTCCTAGAGTACCCCGCACCGAACATACCGCCTCTCTCTCACTCTCACTTATATATCGACCTCCCAGAGTACCCCACACCGAACATACCGCTTCTCTCTCA